TTTTCACAATTCTAAGATTTTGAAGATTTTTTACAGGACCGGGGTCAGATTTTTTCAAAGATTGACTAAGTTCTTTTTTCCTCATATGGCCTAGAAATTCATCGAAAACGCTCCAAATGGTGTCTCTACCGTACTTTCAAGCATATCTGGTTGTTTCGAGAGAGAAAAAAAGTTTTCAAAATTTTAAGATTTTGAAGATTTTTTACAGGTCCGGGGTAAGATTTTTTCAAATATTGACTTAGTTCTTGTTTTCCTCATATGGCCTAGAAATTTATCCAAAACTCTCTGAATGGTGTTGCTAGCGTATTTGCAAGCATTTCTGGTTGTTTCGAGAGAAAAAAATTTTTTTGCGAAATTTTCACCTTTTTGAAGATTTTTTACAGGTCCGGGGTCACAGATTTTTTCAAAAATGACTAAGTTCTTGTTTTCCTCATATGGCCTAGAAATTCATCCAAAACTCTCCGAATGGTGTTGCTAGCGTATTTGCAAGCATTTCTGGTTTTTTTGAGAGAAAACAAAATTTTTGCGAAATTTTCAGATTTTTGAAGATTTTTTACAGGTCCGGGGTAACAGAAATTTTCAAAAATGACTAAGTTCGTGTTTTCCTCATATGGCCTAGAGATTCATCCAAAACACTCCGAATGGTGTTGCTAGCGTATATTCAAGCATTTCTGGTTGTGTCGAGAGAAAACTTTTTTCCCAAAATATTAAGATTTTGAAGATTTTTTACAGGACCGGGGTCAGATTTTTTCAAAAATTGACTAAGTTCTTTTTTTCCTCATATGCCCTAGAAAATCATCCAAAACCTCTCCGAATGGTGTTGCTAGCGTATTTGCAAGCATTTCTGGTTGTTTCGAGAGAAAAAAAAGTTTTGCAAAGTTTTCAGATTTTTGAGGATTTTTTACAGGTCCGAGGTCACAGAATTTTTCAAAAATGACTAAGTTCTTTTTTTCCTCATATGGCCTAGAAATTCATCGAAAACGCTCCAAATGGTGTTTCTACCGTACTTTCAAGCATTTCTGGTTGTTTCGAGAGAAAAAAAAAGTTTTCACAATTCTAAGATTTTGAAGATTTTTTACAGGACCGGGGTCAGATTTTTTCAAAAATTGACTAAGTTCTTTTTTTCCTCATATGGCCCGGAAATTCATCGAAAACATTCCAAATGGTGTTTCTACCGTATTTTCAAGCATTTCTGGTTGTTTCGAGAGAAAAAAAACTTTTCACAATTTTAAGGTTTTGAAGATTTTTTACAGGACCGGGGTCAGATTTTTGTAAAAAGTGACTAAGTTCTTTTTTTCCTCATACGGCCTAGAAATTCATCAAAAACTCTTCGAACGGTGTTGCTAGCGTATTTGCAAACATTTCTGATTGTTTCAAGAGAAAAAGATTTTTGCAAAATTTTCAGATTTTTGAAGAGTTTTTACAGGTCCAGGATCACAGAATTTTTCAAAAATGACTAAGTTCTTGTTTTCCTCATATGGCCTAGAGATTCATCCAAAACTCTCCGCCGAATGGTATTGCTAGCGTATTTTCAAACATTTCTGGTTGTTTCGAGAGTAAAAAGTTTTTGGAAAATTTTCAGATTTTTGAAGATTTTTTACAGGTCCAGGGTCACAGATTTTTTCAAAATTGACTAAGCTCTTGTTTTCTTCAGATGGCCTAGAAATTCATCCCAAGCACTCCGAATGCTGTTTCTAGCGTATTTTCAGGCATTTCCAGTTGTTTCGAGAGAAAAAAAACTTTTGCAAAATTTTCAGATTTTTGAGGATTTTTTACAAGTCCGAGGTCACAGAATTTTTCAAAAACGACTAAGTTCTTTTTTTCCTCATATGGCCTAGAAATTCATCAAAACTCTCCGAATGGTGTTGCTAGCGTATTTTCAAGCATATTTTGTTGTTTCAAGAGAAAAAAAATTTTTGCAAATTTTTTAGATTTTTGAAGATTTTTTACAGGTCACAGATTTTTTCATCGAAACAATCGGAATGGTGTTTCTAGCGTATTTTCATGCATTTCGAGTTGTTTGGGAAAAGAAGATGTTTGTAAAATTTTCAGAATTTTAAAGTTTTTTTATTGATCCGTCTCAGGTGACAGATTTTTTGAAAAATGATGCTGTTGTTCTCTTGCAAGATACGCCCTCTAAACTTCTCAAGAACACTTTCTCTTAAGAACAAGTTTCTGGACTTTGGCTCGCTTTTGATACTTTTTCTTATTGCTAATTTTTGCTGATTTTCTTCAAAGGTTTATTTTTTTCACTGTTTCTGATACCTTCAATTCAAAGAGAAACACGTCGTGATGGAATTCTCGCAGTTAAATGGACGTTTTTTTCTAGAATATAGTTGAGCGTGTGCTGGCCATGGAGGGTTGCTGCAGAAGGGCCGTGGAGTCCTTCAGATAAGTCCTTATTTTCAAAGAATGGTGTTTTGAATTGGAAACACCGGGCAATGAAGTGGAGACTACCTTCGCTTGCCAGTTTTGCCTCAGGGCCTTAATGACTCTTTGGACCTTTTGCTTTTAGTCACTTTTAAATTTTAAGAAATTTTTATCTTTGCGTGTTTACTTTTTAAGAAGGGGGATGGTGAAACTGTTAAGGATTCGGGATTTTAAGTTATTTTAATTAGTTCGATTCTTTCATTGATTCTGTTTGTAACTCCTTTTCCGGGAAATGTGCGTCACTGTCATCGTGTTGTGATTTTTCAGTGTTCCTTTGTTATTGTTTTAATATCATGTAATCCGAGTTAGAATAATTTAGTCTTACTGTTTTGATAATAGAGGTAGCATCAACGAAGAGGTATCTCTTGTGTGCTATCTGTTCGGGTCTTAGGCCCATTGGGCTAGCCCATTGTTTCGTCATAACAAGAACCCGTACACGCTACAAATTGGTGATAGAGGCTACGAACCCGTACACGCTATTTAAATTTAATTTTTTAGTTTTTAGGGTGGGCGTTAATTAGGAAGTGGACGTTGATCCAATAATTCCCGAAAACAAATTAGTGTACCTTATCCTCTGAATTTCTTCCAAAAATCTCAGAAAAATTATCCACCGGAGAAAATAGAACAACCTCAAAACAACCAAACAACAATTTATCAAACACTGTCATAACAAAACAAATGAATAACAAATAAGTCTCACGATGGTAGTACTAGTCTATACAAAGTTCTTCATCACTTTCACGGTCAGAGTCGATCAAATTTTGTGGATCATTGGCATCTTCCACGTCAGAATCCGTGACGTTCGCAAATTGATTTGTAGTACCGTTAAATGGAGCGTTAACGTACAGGGGCGTTAAATAGAAATGGAGCGTTATCAAGAAAGTGGGCTTTAGTTAACATTTTTTACTTTTAGGGTGGGCGTTAGTTAGGAAGGGGCCTTAAAAAGGAAGGGGGCGTTAAATAGATCAAATACGGTATTCGCCGTCCTAAGAAGAACCCTATCGTTACACCTTCAAGACTTTGTTTGACATCTTGGTCCCTTACTTTCAAATACGTTTCGCCGACTCTGCAGTAGCAACAAGACAGGTTTCTAGTCGCCACATGATTGGGCTTCAGCTGTCACATGTAGATTTTAAGCGATTATGTGCTTAAACATTAGCGATGACGCGTTCATGTTTTATTGTTCATATGACTATCCTAAAGTGCTGTACATACCTTTCTTTGGGTTAATTGATTTAGAAGTGCTTAAATTTTTGTTTCATGTAGCTTACGTATTTCATCACTAAGTTACACATAGTTGCAGATATCATTTGAAACAGCTAAACTGCATGCATGGAATAGTATCAGGGCCGCCGGACGTCGGTTAAAGAGGACACAAACATGG